GCAGAAAGGATTCCTGTGAACTGGAGGTTCTTTGGTGGTCCTTTAAACACTCCCAGGCCTGCCAGGGGAATTCAGTCACAGAGTGAAAGATCCTCAGGACAGGAGTATTATCTCACCAGAAGGAAATGTGTGATATTCAAAGTTCCTTTGAAAAAGAACAGCACTAGAATGATATATTTACAAGTTCTCTTTAAATGACATGTCACGAAGGCAACTCCAGCAGACTATGGTCTCTTGACAGAGTGCTTATGGCCAAGGAACTTGGAGAAGTGGCTGTTGTACCATATTATTACTATTTTCTGGCATTATCCTACCTAAGATAATGAGGATTTAGTGAGGTCATCTGGAAAGCTCTGGAAAGGAGAATTAAGATTAAAACTCTAGAGTTTTTGGGACCTTAGGGATCATCTCATCTTACTGCTCATGGAACAAATGAAAGAACAGAATTTTGTAAAGGGGTATTGACTTGTCTGAGGGTGATATGGCCAGCACGCTCTTACTTCATTCAGATGAGAAGGAAGAGCCTCTTTCTCACTCATAGCCAGAAAAGCCACATATCCTGGGGGTAGAGAGTTAGGGAGAGAATGCAATTTTAAAAATTCAATGGGTTTCAACTGGATGTGGAAGGCTTCTGGGTTTGAAAGCTTCTGAGTTCTCAGATGGAAATACTAGTCTTGTAACTGAATCGAGAACTTAGGGAGTATTTAAGCTGTAATTGGGGCTTCCCAGTTGGGCTTCCCTGATAGCTCAGTTGGTAAAGAATCCATCTGCAATGCAGGAGACCCTGGTTCAGTTCCTGAGTCGGGAAGATACACTGAAGAAGGGATAAGCTACACACTCCAGTATTCTTGGGCTTCCCTTGTTGCTCAGCTGGTAAAGAATCTACCCACAATACGGGAGACCTGGGTCTGATCCTTGGGTTGGAAAGATCCCCCAGAGAAGGGAAAGGCTACCCACTCCAGAACTGGCCGGAGAATTCCATGGACTGTATAGTTCACGAGCCCTCAAAGAGTCAGACACGACTGAGCCACCTTCACTTTCACTTTCAACTAGTGCTAGTCACAGAGAACCTGCCTGCCAGCGTAGGAGACGTGAGACGGGAGTTCGATCCCTGAATTGGGAAGATCCCCTGGAGGAGGGCAGGGCAACCCACTCCAGTATTCTTGCCTGGGAAATCTCATGGACAGAAGAGCCTGGAGGGCTACAATCCATAGAGTTGCAAAGAGTCTGACACAACTGAAGCAATCTAGCATGTTCCCATGCATGCACACAAACTGTAATTCCTACAAGCTGTGACCTTCGGGGGGACCAAGGAGGCTAAGTAAGCAGAGTGAGCTTCTGAGCCACCTTCAGCCCCAACAGCCCCATTTCTGTCTCCTGAATCAGGACTACTAGAAGATTTCTAAGAAGAAAAACGTCCACTGGGGAGAAAGTATTTGAAAAAGAGTAACAACAACGTGGGCCTAGGTGGGTCTCCAGCATCCCTCTGCAGCTTGACATTCCATAAGTTCTTGAGTCTAGGAGGGGAACTCTGCCAGGCACGTGTGAGCAAGGGCACTGGGCCTGTCTCCATGTGAGCACCAGTTGACAGCTGATCAGGGTGCAGTGTCCTGTGAAGGAAGGCCTACTCAGGCCCCATAGCTGCTAAAACCTCTGCAGAGGGGCCAGTGATGGTGCTGGACAGCATTCTGGAAGGAAGTGAGCTGTGCAAGCCCGAGGAAAGACATACCTCTGTCCAATATGTTAATCCCTTCTAAAGGAATTGGGAAAACTGTCGGGCACTTCAGATAGTGGCTCAAACTCTGTCTTGTCTCACCCAGACTGATTCTTTGCTGTGCTCATAGGTCACAAGTCTAATTTTGGAGCAGAGAGTGCTAAAAGACTGTCTTGTCCACTCCAGATCATTTGAGAGTTAGTGGCGGATCTGGGACCAGAACAGGAAGTTCCCAAACCCCAGGCAAGAACCCAGAGCATGCTGCCCTTCCAGAGGGCCTAGTCCTATCTCCTTGAATTTTCAGGAAGGTGTCATATCACCCTGGATAGAAATCAACAATTAACCTGCAAAATATTCTCCAGCCAGAAAAGCTAAGCTTTGGGTATAAATGTATTCCAGTGTCCCTAATTCAGGGTCAGAAGAGGTCTTCATGTTCTATCATGGCCCTTGAAAAGTACAGTGTTGGTTTTTTTTTTTTTTCCATTACAAAATAGCCAATGTCAACTCCTTAATCTATCTTGTCAGGAGAATCCATTTATTTGGGAGCAAAGGATGGGGTTACGTCCTCTATTGTGTGTTTATCATCTTCGTAATGGAGTTCTGTGCTGTGCTGTGCTTAGTCACTCAGTTGTGTCCGGCTCTTTGCAACCCCATGGACTGCAGCCCACCAGGCTCCCCTGTCCATGGGGACTCTCCAGGCAAAAATACTGGAGTGCGTTGCCATGCCCTCCTCCAGGGGATTTTCCCAATCCAGAGATCGAACCCGGGTCTCCTGCATTGAAGGCAGATTTTTTACCAGCTGAGCCACCAGGGAAGCCCCAAAGGTGTCCTAACAAGGGCAGACTTGACCTCTGTCTCAAAAAGAGGAAAACTTATTAGAAAAAAAAAAAAATTGCAAATGAATTGAGAGTGAATTCTTGCAGTGGAGGGATGGGAAATAATGAAAATAAGTCATTGTCACAGCTAAAGAGAAAAAAATTTTGCAATTTCTGTGGTCTTGAGGCCTTAATTACTACTAAAGGCAAATGTTTCCACTGGCAAAATTTCTAGATGTTTGACATGTTTGAAAGTAGATAAAAAGCAGTTAGGAAGTTCACATTTAGCCTTGTCTAAATCAATGGAATTTACTCTTGTATTAAGCCAATGTTTGGTCATTTTCCTTCTGCTAAGTTCACTCTCCAATGTAAATATTTGAGAATACAATGATGGTACAGCCAGCATTAGCTAGGGGAATGGGCTGGAGGATTCTGCTAACCAAATGCCCCTTACCCATAATACATCTGGGATCCTGGAGTTCGGTTCTTCCAGAGGCTAGATTATATCCTAGAAGACATAACTAACCTGTTTGTTAGAAATTTCAGTTTATGATGTTGAACACTTAGGGCCTTGGTGAATACTCCCTGTTTGATCTTTGTGACTCTGAGAAGTTGGCTCCATTTGTAATGAATTTATAGAAACTGTATTTGATCTAGATTACCAAGCCATATCATCTCTGAGAGCAGGTAGTTACAACATTTCTCATTCTTTCTTTGTCAACCTTTTATCATCATTACTCTTTTCCACCTTGTGTAATGGCTTTTTTTCTAGGCTCATCTCTTTTGGTAACGGACTAGATTTCTGGGTCCTTAAATTCTCACAGTTCCTAGCACAGGACATTCAAAGATGGGCAGTGGCACAGAGAGAGCAGCTGTTCTCACATGTTGAGCTTTTGCTCCTCTGGGGCTATCGATAACTGCTGGGGGCATTTTTGGTTGTCACAACTGGAGTGTGAGTGCTATTGACATCCAGTAAGTGAAGCCAGGGATGCTGCTAAAAATCCTATAATTTGCAGAATAGCTTTCCTTGGCAATAATTATCTGGCTCAAAATGTCAATAGTGCTAAAATTGAAAAACTGTGCCACGGAGGACCAATTTTAGAAAGTTTTTAGTCACAGAAAACTTGCTTGAAATGGGATACTAGATGCATATCCAACATATGTAATCAGCAACACTCACCATTCAAAATGAGTTAATCAGGGTGGGAGTTCACAGCCCCACTTACCAGGCTTCCCCGGCCCCTGCCCCGGTGCCCTTGTCAGCCTCTGCAGTATCCTAGGGCTCAGTGGAGTACAGCTTGTGAGCAGTTTGGCAGAGCCAAAAGAATGCAGTATTGAAAGTCATAAGACATGAATTTGGAATCTTGACCCATCATTTACTAGCTGCACAACCTTGGGTGAGTTGCTTCACCTTCTTGGGGTTGTGTCTTTGCTTGTAAATGGGATAGCAATACCTATCTCATAGGATTGTTTTAAAGGTTGAATGAGATTATAAGTGTAAAAACGTCTTGTCAACTCACTTCTTTGCTGATGATCAAACATTCTGGTTAATACCAGGTTAATTCTTACTGAATTACGGCTGTAGAAAAGTGAAACTATACTAACACCAAATGTATAGGAAGTCTATGCTAGAGTGGTTTGATAAGAGCTTCTTCCAAGAAGCCAGAGAGAGGTTAAAGGTTATAAGTAGGTTCTTAGGTCTTCACCTCTTTTTGAATCAGATACAACTGTGATGTGTGTCACCTCTCAGAAGTACTTTGACCTTTCTTAGCTCCACTTTTAGAAGAGAACAGCTTCTATGGCATTGCTTGTGAGTACTTTCTAAATCCTGAGAAATTGTTGTTTGATGCTGCAATCATTTCCTGCTCCTCTTCCCTTTGTTTTTTACATCCATAGTCACATCCATCTCCTGTGGTGACCCCTTACTGTTGCCCATACTCTTTGCTGATAAAATCCAAACTCTTTAGCATTACATTCAAAGCCCTTCAGAATCTCACTCCAATCCAACCTTCCAACCTCACCTTTTATTTCCCTTGCAGCATACTCTACACTTCTCATTACCTTGATCATTACCTAGGGAACTGAACAATGTTTTCTAATGCCTCAGCTTTGGATATAACGATAGCTTTTACTCTGGAGTCTCTTTTGCTTGTTGGACTAAAGGTGACATTGGGGCAGAGGTTAGCAGAAATGGTAGACTTTGAGAACAGAAAGGAAAAGGGAAGGCTGTATTTGAGTAACACTTTGCCAATCTCATCTTCCCTTAAGATCTTTTCTAGGTCTTTCTACTCAACCTGCACCTAGCGTACCATCCGCAACCTTCATTTGTCGTGTTATGATATTGTATTTCTCCCTCACTGCATTGCCAGCCTGGGGGGCAAACACAGCATCTGATTCATCTAGGTTCCTCTAACTCCCAGCAGATTCTCCGGTAGAGAACCTGACACGGTAAGGGAACACCAGGATCTCACCTTCACATAGTCGTATTCACAAAGGTAGGAGGATTCCAAGTTGAAGTGCATGAAGTAAAGCTTGATTCGAAATCCCTCTGGGACAGTGATATTCCAAGTCACCTCTGAATCACTTGGATAGGAGTCCGGATAGCCAGGAGACTGGATCTGGCCAAACATGTCGTTAAGCTCCACAAGGTGGGCTGAGGCCTTCAGCAAGGAGAAGCACAGAGCATGAGAAAGAAGGAGCCACCTGAAAAACATGAGCGGATTCACTCACACTCAGATAGCGGTTCCTGTCATTTAACTAAATCAACAGCCAGGAGACCAAGTTCCCAGCCTGTCACTGACTTGCTGTAATTATTTTTCCCTTGTGGGCCTTGCTTATCCACTGTATAATACTGGTGGATAGTAACTTGATTTTTAAGGTTTCTCCCAGTTGTGCTCTTTTAAAGATTCCATAATAGTATTAAACTTTCCCATAAAATATCATATTTGGGACTCTGAGACACATTGTTTTTTGGTTTAGAATATAAATTTCATAGGTAAAAAGTGATACAATTTCTGCAGCTCAGCTTAATTTAAGAATCATAAACTCTTGATTCAGTTTTCTAAAAAGTAATAGGAACATGGAAATATTGAGATAAGGCTTGTACTTGATGATGGGATCTGCAGTACCTTAAACAAATTTTACAAAATTAATCAAGAAATAGAAAATTTTGAATTAAGAAGAAATGACCAAAACAAGTTTTTTCCCCTCCCCTTTGACAAGTGTTCTTGTAAAAGGATCAAAAACTTACAATCTATTTCCAGTTGTAGGAATCCAAGATAATAGACTGTTAAGAGTTGTATAAAGGACATGGGAAATTCAACTAAAACTTACAGAACACACCCAAGTAGCTGATGCAATAATGAGGCAGAATGCTTAAGGCTTGTCAAAAACCTAATGGTCAATGTACAGTACAACCAAGGCATCCAATAGATTGTTCCTCTGCAAGACTCAAGGACCTTGAACTCAAACATCCCAAACCTGGCTCGTCAGTTTCTCCCCTAAATCTTATTTATTCTGATTCCTATGTTTTGGAAACCCCTCTGTTTCTCCTCAGTCAATTAATTTAAACATTCTTATCTGAACTATTGCTATTGAATCCTAACTGATTTCCTTGGGCCCCATTTCATGCCATTTAGCAATCTTCTGCCAAATTTGATTTTCTAAAACACAGACGTGTCCATGTGGCTTCTCTGTGCCTGCAGGGCAAAGCATCTGCTACTGGGGTGGCTGATGAGCCCTTTCTCATCTAGTGCTGATTTGCCTGTCCAGCTTCATCTCATACCAGCCTGAGGCAGATCATTCTGGAAGCATGCCACACCCATCCGGGCCTCGACTCCATCACACATGCCCCACTCATTCCTCACCTGGTCATCTCATTTATCCTCCACCATCCAACTCAAAGCTTCCCAGGATACCATGGAATATCCTTCACTCCAGATTGCAGCTCCCTATACATGCTTCCAATTAGAGCAATGCTTTAGGCACAGCCCTGAAGTTAGGTGTATTTGGGTTCAAATCCCAGCTCACTTCCTTATTGGCTGTGAAATCTTGGGGAATTAGTCTCTGAGTCCAGGTTTCCTCAAATGTAAAGTGAAGATTATAGTTTCTAATTTACAGAGCTCACATGAATAATAAGGATGATGTATATAAAGGACCCAGTATAAAGCCTAGTATATAATAGATGATGAATGAATGAATGAGCTAAAGCATGAATGTGGGGCCAGAGTCTTATTAATATATAGTCTAAAAAGTAAGTTCTGGGGAATTATACCAGCATTGTAACATTAATAGTTAGAATCTGACTAATCAGAAAGTTGTTTCTCCCAACCTACCCTGCCCTGCTCAGTAAAAAAATGCATTTATGTGTCTATATGCATTTATATGAATTTTTGAGTGTATAAACACAATGAGATAATGGCAATGAAATTATCTAGCTGTCTTATATAATATTTACATAAAAGGTAAATACATAAGTGCAAAAAGGCCTAGAAGGGTACCTTTGGGGTATTAACAGTAGTTATCTTTGAAGTGGTAACATAAAATTACACTCAATAAAAATGAGTGCTTTCAATTTTACTTTTGTGTATGTAAAACGTTCAAATGTGTCTGGAAGGACCTTGTGCTATTTATTCAATTAAGAAAAATAGAGGTAAATTTTTTCCAAGGCCCCTACAATAGCAACACGTGAGATGCAACTAAGGAAACAAAATGTTTTCATCTAATTGCCAGGGTCAATATTTTTACAAACCAATCTGTGGAGGAAGGGCCTCCAAGGCAAAGAGAAAGGCAGGCATGGGTCCAAGCTCTCTGATGAAGTAGTAGGAGAGGTAAGTCTGAAAACTCTGGCTTGCAGGGGTCAGGCAGCCCCACTTTGAAATGAGGAAATATACTGATATTTCCAACCTGCACTGGAAATTCTGGTTAAGTGCCTCTTGAGGAGGGGAGGGCACTGGTCTTGGGTTGAAAGAGCTGGATTCCAGTCCAGACTTTGACTTCATTCATCTAACTAACCCATCTCGGGGAAGTCATGTAAGGTCTCCCTCTCAACTTCTTCATTCATTAAGTGTCGATAGTAATGACAACCCCCGAAGCTGCTGTCACAGTAAAGGAGAATTGGAGAGTAAGTACTTTGTCAGATGTCCAGCCCTAGTCAAACATTAGTTACTATTACCCCATCAGGCTGCTTCCCGAAAAGCAGGGGTTAGGAATGAGCTTTGGCTCCCAAACTGGACTTCCCTGCAATAGCAACACCCGGATTATGCAAGGCTGAAAGGTCAGTTTTCTCCACTTCTGCTTTTTTCACACCACATGGAGGAGACCCTGAGCTTCCTGCTCCTGGTTCTGTCATGGGCTGGCCCAGGCGGATGGCTCCATCTATCCTCAGAGGCCTCAGACCACGTGCAGTAGGCAACTGGTCAGCGTAGGAGGAAGGCCTGTGAAGCACTCTGTTCTATTTTGTTTGCATTTCAAAACAGTTTCAAACATATGAAACAAATCTCTCTTTTCACATAATAAGCCTGAGCATATGCTCGCTTGCTTGCTTGCGGGGCTGCAAATCAAAGAATGCAAGTGGCGGCTTCCATTTCCCATCACGCTCTGAGTGTTTTTGGCTTCTTATCCACCAGGCACCGGCTGTACAAATTCTGACACCTGCTATCTATTCTCCGACTAATCAAAAAGTTTAGTTACATTTGTTTGAAATGTCACAAGTAATATATAAAGCCGGGATTTCATAAGCCCTACTGTAGGAGCAGCCTCTGAGGAATGCATAAAAAATGCCGGCATATATCCATGGTTGTGGAACAAGTAGCACTTTCTATCCTTTCCATTCACTCCTCACTTCAGCCTACGCAACACCAAGACTGTTTTGGGATAGAAGAGTTGAAAAGGCCTGTGTAGATCTCTTTGACACTCTTACTTGACAGAGGACAAAAAGGATACCCCGAGAGGTGACATGTCATGCCCAATGCCATATGGTGAGTTAGCTTCTACAGAAAGCAGCAATAACAAAGGCTTACAGAGGAAACTGGGTTCATGCCCATATCATGCCTAGGCATCTGGCCAAAGCAATTAATCCTGTGAAAAATAATTCAAAAAACCCATAGCTTTATGTGAAAATTAAAAAAAAATACTAATACAAAAGTCCCTCCCCAACAGATTTTAGTTTAATTGGTCTGGTGTGAGGCCTGGTCATTGGCATTTTTTAAAATGTACTATAGATTGTTCTAATGTACAGCTAGGGTTGAGAGCTGCTTATGTAGAATAATATACTTCGTTGAGAGTCTGGCATAGTATTATAGAAAGAAATCGTAAACTTGGAGCCCAAAGATCCAGATTTGGGTCTGGGCTTTTTCAAGATCATCAGTGTGGCTTTGGGCAAGTTGGTTAACTCTTTTATCCTCCTATCTCCAAAAACCCTTACCTCATCCAAAATCTGAAGGCCAGATGCGACAGAGACTTTACAAGTGCTTTGCAAACTCTGAAGTGTTGTGTCTGTATGAGGCCAGACCTTTTAGGGACTTCTGGTGAAGCACTTTTCCAGGAGAAGTTTTGCTATTGAATAACTGAATTCAATTCAGCCAATATTGATTGTATGCAATGAAATGATTGCATGTATGAAACAGACATTATGCTAGGTACGAGGCATACAAAGGTGAACAAACCACAGATCCTATTCCTCAAGGAACATTCAGGCTGGACATTTCAACATGATAATACTAAGCGAGGTAACTCCCAAGGACAGAAAAAGCACAAAGGATAAGATGCTGACTCTGGGGAAACTGAGCAGGGAAGAGGAGGTGATGTTTGAGCAAGCTTGAATGATCATCTTGTGGAACAGTGGTCCCCAACCCCTGGGCCGGCCGAGGACTGGTACCAGCCTGCCGCCTGTTAGGAACCAGGCTGGACAGCTGGAGGTGAGCAGCGGACCAGTGAGGAAAGCTTCATCTGTCGCTCCCCGTAGCTTGCATTACTGCCTGAAGCCTGAACCCCTCCCTCCTTCCCCCCATCCCTGGAAAATTTTCTTACATGAAACCGGTCCCTGGTACCAAAAAGACTGGGAACCACTGCTAGAAAAAGGGGAAATAAGAGAGCTAAGGGGTGAGCAAATGCCAAGACAGAACTGATCATCGGCCCTATAGTTTGGTATGGCTGGGGTCCTGGGTGGTAGGGTGAAGGCTTGAATGGTGGACAGATGAGTCAAATGGTCATTCCATGTAGAGGGGCATAAATCTCATCTCTTTCAGGAGAAAGGAAAATGAAGTTAGACAGCAGGGTTAATATTACAATGGATTTAAAAAGAACGGAGTGATTGGATTAACCTTAAAGACCTGATTATCTCTCTAAACCACAGGTAATCTGAGTTCAAAGAGTTAACACAACCTGAAGCCCCTCATTGGCCCCAGACCCTGAAAAGTTGCTAGGTGACTGCAGAAGAGAAACAAATAGAAACACTTTTTCAATTGAGAGTAAAATTAAGGGGAAATAGAGGTGTTCAGAGACTTAACACGTCTCTGGAGTGTTCGTTTTTTCTTTTTTGTATTTTTAACAGTATAAGCACTTGTAAGTAGTAAAAATAATTATGGTGGCTGGATTTTGACACTTGGAGAGGAGAACTTATAAGCAATGTCTAGTAACAAGCAGCTAGTAACTAAGTATAGGCTGAGACATTGGAAATATTGAAGAGCTTGGAAACAATTGCAATTTAAAATCCTAGGTTCAGAATCAGGAAGACTTTTTTTTTTTAATTTGAGATATCCCTTTAAGAGTCATTTGGTGCAATTCATAGCCTGATTCATGCTACTGGCAGCCTCTGATTTCAGTAATAAATGCAGAAATTTATAGGGGACTGTAAAATGTGGACAGGTTTTTGCATTTCTAAACTGAGGTTTAAACTAGCAAACTTCTGAAGGTTTAAGAAGCCACAGAGCTGAGCAATGGGGATCTGGTTTCTTTTCCGGTCAGAGCAAATAAACACACAAACACATATTTAACTCACAGAGTGTTGGAAGAGAGAAACCAGTGTTCTTTTTAAAGAAGGAAAACAAAAACTCAACCTTGTGGGCAACAGGAGGAAAGTCACACTGGCCGGCGGGCAGCACCCTGCGTTGGCAGAGGAGAAATCTGAGCTCCAGCGGCACCGGCGGCATTTGCACAGAGCCACAGCCTCCCGTTTCAAGTTGCAAGTCTCTGGAGTCTCAGGCAAGGCCCCAGCCTGGCTCCCTTCTCAGAGCCCCGAGAACTGATGAGGAGCCCCTGCACCAACCACAGGACACGCAGGTGAGTCTGCCCAGAGACAAGGTCAGACCTTCCAGGGCTACTTGGCATCTGGTCCCTGAAAGCCACCCCCCCGCCCACCCCGTGCCCACTTCTGCCCTGGCACTCACCTCATTTTCCTGCCTTGAGTGCTCCTGGCTGCCTGGTCCCCTTGGCCTGACTGTCTGCGAGCTCGTCCCCAGTGTGGTATCAGCCTTATCTTTGTTCTGAGGTCCCTGTGTGACTCTGGAATTGGCTGGCATTCTCCATTCAGGTCACGCCTTCCCCTGCCTGCAACAGATCCCCTCTCCCCCTCTCTCCCTCTGCCTTCTCCTCTCTCTCTCTCCTCTGACTTGCTCTTACACACACTCAGAGGGACCTGACAGAACAGAATCTGTCTTCTTCCTTACAAGATCTCCTCCTCCAGTTCCCTCCTTCATCCTGTAACGGCTGCTTCCAGCTCCCGGGAGAGAATCACTGAGGAGCTCGAATAGGTATTTGTATCACCGCGTGTGTGCGTGTGTGTGTGTGTGTGTGTGTGTGTGTGTGTACAGACAGTGGAGAAGGACAACGTCAGCTCTCCCCAGTCTCCCTTGCCAGATGGCTATAATTCTCTGCTCGTCTTCAGGACACTGGCAAAAGGACATCAATTAACCAAGGACAATACTAAGAAGGCAATTCTAATATCTACACTAGGCAAATCCCAAAGCTTGTCTGTCTGCAAACAACCACAGGCTTCCTGGTGAACTGAGCAGCTGGCCGGGCTTGTGAGCTAGCGGCCAGTCCTTCAGCTGGCTAGTTGCTCCTCACCAGCTGAAAGTGAGGCTTGAGCTTTTTACTGACTTGGACTGTGCTGGGGCCTGATACCACCCGGGGAGGACCCACCGCAGCCAGAGAGCCTCTCACCCCATGGCTATGAAGAGACCTGGGCCTGTGTATGTGGCTAGACCCAGGGATTGTGGAGAAAACAGCACCAGATCTCAGCCAAGTTGAATAAGGAAATCCCTTTCTCCACAACAATGACCACCAGTCCTGAACAAGGCGAGGGATGTCTGGTTATAAAAAGTACAGTTCACTGAGATCACCTTTTCTGTGCTAGGCACAGGATTAGGTGCAGGCATCATCTCAATTACTTTCACAAACTTGAGAGGGTCACACTATCGTACCCATTTTACAGACAAGAAAACTGAGGCGAGAGAGTTCATAACTTGCCTAGATTATCCAGCCCCTTATTACTCCTACTGCTGTCACAGCTAGCAGTTAATATTTACTGAGCACTATGTGTCAAGTACTGTTCTAATAATGGGTTAACTGCTTTTGATTCTCTACATTTTGCAAAGCTGAGTAGTATTATTATTCCTGCTTCCAGATGAAGAAACTGCTCAGAGAGTTTAAGTAAGATACCCAAGATCACACAGCTAGAAAGTGATGGGGAAAAATCTGAGCTGGTATCCACTGTGTTGTGCTGCTTCTCACTAACATATTATAGTGCATATGGCATTACAAATACATAACACAGTCACAGAGAAACTCAGTTTGAGGCATTTTTTGAAAAGAGCAATTAGAGTCAGAGTTAGCTATAATCTTTCCTTTCTATTTAAGCGAACTGTATACTTTGGACTCAATAGTTAACATCTCTGATCTTATTTCCTCATCTGGAAAATAGGAGTTGCTGTGAGACTTAAAGGAAATTATCCTTATTCTTTTTTAGTTGTTCAGCGTACTCAAGAGACGACTCCCACCCCTTCCAAGCAAGGAGGCAAACACATGCATTCTCCATACTCTGATAACACTGCTTTGGCACATTTTGGGGAACAGTGCCTTGAATCTTGCTGAAGTTCTCCTTGTTCCATTTTTTTCTCCAGTTTCTCTGTTTTATCACCTTTAAAAGTCAGCTTCGCTAAGCTGGGCATTATTAAGAGGGTGTGTTTGATATTGTGGGTGCAAGTATATGCGATGAGGAAATGTTTGAACCTAGGCACTGTTTTAGCAAAATACTACTTTCTGGTTTAGGCAAGAGGAAAAAAAAAACAAAACCCTTTAAAAGTCCCATTGAGACCCAGAGGGATCAGGTAGAGAGGGAGGTGGGAGGGGGGACCGGGATGGGGAATACATGTAAATCCATGGCTGATTCATGTCAATGTATGACAAAACCCACTACAATATTGTAAAGTAATTAGCCTCCAACTAATAAAAATAAATGAAAAAAAAAATAAAGTGATGGCTATTAGACTTAAAAAATATAATAAAATAAAAGTCCCATTAAGAAGACTCACAGGCTCCTCAGACATCAAATAACTCTCACACAACATTTTAATGATTTAAGTGTAAATGAATCAGAAACACATGGGCTGCATTTCTCTTGGAATATACATGCCTTTTAAAACCAAGAGAGGAAGAGCTTGGCACGAAGCACCCTGCACCATGCAGAGGGCCCTGCCCACTAAAGACATTGCCTCCATTAGTGCTGCAGATGAGCTGGCCCTCTCCTAATTTAGGGCACATCCAGGGAAATGCAGTCATTTGTTCTGGGCAGAGAGGGGAGAGTTTGGGAGGGAAAGCCATCAGCTTCTCCTTGTAAAGTGTCACAGAGCCACTGAGCCTCCCAGAATAATTTTCTATGTTTTTTTTTAAGGCTGCCAACGCTCAATGGGAGGCATTTGAAATATGTTCTGAGCCAAAGTTCTGCCAATATACAGCAGAGCTGATATGTGCTTCCTTGGGAGTTAGCCAAGGCTCAGATGGAATCTGCATGAAAACTGTGGCTTGGGACTGATCTGGCCTGGATTCAGGGCAATTTCTCATTGTGTGGGGCTGCACTGGTGATACAGTCCTGATCTTTTGATAAGAATGTCCTGGAGCAACATGAATAAATCATGAAGAGTGGGAAGAATGGGAAAGACAGTGGTCTAGGAATAGACTCAAACATGGGTAACTCATATGTGACCTTGGGCAGGTCACCTACTTTCTCTGCTGCAGGAGGGGAAGGAGGGACATCAGTTTCCTCCACTATAAACTCAGGGGATAGGAGTCCACTGGGAACATGGAGCACATATAAATGTGAGTGTGAGGACTATGGAATGAAATTGCAGTGGGGGTGGTGAGGTGAATTGCTAATAATCTGTTAAAAGTCAAAGAGCTCAGAGTGGCCTTCTAATCTTTACACTTGCTTTTATCTGTGGTCATAATATCATTACATTACTCAGGATTCAATCATAGGTATTCAGAAAGATAATTTCTAAGAAGATTCAACTTGTTTTAAAAAATGGTGATGAAAAGGTTAACATACTTACATTTAGGAAACTAACAGTATGTCAGTTAGAATCATAAAAGTGTAGAATGATGGATGTTGGCTCAAGATCCCGTTTATAGTAAGGGAAATGGATCAGAAACCTACTACTAAGAGAGTAAATACTACAGCATTCCTGCAACTAGAACAGGGCTTCGTTTACATGTTCTATCAAAGTGTTTATTATATACAACTCTTGAGCACAGACTTTCTGGAATTTCATGAATGTGTTGGAAAATGTAAAATATTTGGGCAAAGAGTTTTTATTGGCCAACTGTGAATCCAGGCTTCCTATAGAATATCTAAAAACTGATAAATGGCCCCAAAGATTACACCTGAGAATTAAATTTTGGGTTATTCAATACACTGACTGACAGGATGCTGGAAACCCTGACTTCAGAACCTATAAGGTCATCAGAATAACATGGGAAATTAAAAAATAACAATGCCTGAGCTTCATCTCAGAAGATTCAAATTCAGTGAATCTTGGGAGGGGCTCTTGAGTCTGTAATTTTAAAAGCTCCCATGCACAAGTGTCCCATTTTGGGAGGATGATCAGCATCTAGAGCCTTGGACTCCTGACCCTAAATCCAGCTCTCTTTCCCCTCATCTGTAGGCCCCTGATCCTGCCTGTGGACTTTGAGCATTCCTGAGCCATGCTGTCATGTGACTGCAAGAATTTAGGGGACGGAAAAATAATTTATATGCAAAAAATAAACCAGGCTCTATTATGGGCTGAAATGTGCTCCTCCAAAATCCATATGCTGAGGCCCTAACCCCCAGTATCTCAGGATGTGTTTGGAGACAGGATCTTTAAAGAGGTGATTAAACTGGAGGTTGTTAGGGTGGGCTCTAATCCAGTATGACTGGTATCCTTATAAGAGGAGGAGATTAAGATACAGACCACACAGAGGAAAAATGGGGTGAAGAGACAGCCATCTGTGAGCCAAGGAGAGAGGTCTCAGAAGAACAACCTTGATCTTGAACTTCCTGAAAATACCAGCCAACACCTTGAGCTTGAACACCTTGAGTCTCCCAAACTGTGAGAAACTACATTTTTGCTGTTTAAGCTACTTAGTCTCTGATCCTTGGTCATGGCAGCTCTGGCAAACTAATACAGACTGTCTAATAGCAGTTCTCCCAAAGCGTAAGCCCATACCACCACAGTGTCAAGCTAATTTCGAGCACCACATACATGGAATTAACAAATACTGGGCCAGTTAAGGTTTTGTTTGGTAGGTGATAAGAGAAACCTTGATTAGTGCTGAAACAGAGCTTATTTTCCTTGTGTAGCAAGAAGTGAAACAGAAGGTGGGCCTGGGGACATTTTCTGTGTTTTTCTGTTCTGCCAGTCCTAGGAGGGGTTGATGTGCCCTAGGGTTAGGTACGTGAAACATAGACCATCTGTTATGGGCTAAATTATTTCCTCCCCAAATTCATATATTGAAACCTTAACTCCCAGTATCTCAAAATATGAACATATTTGAAGATAGGAGCTTTAAGGAAGTGATTAAGTTAAAATAGGGCTGAATGGGCCTAATCTAATTGTTAATGTAAGAAGAGTTTAGGATACAGAAAACACAGCAGGAGACCATGAGGGAATGCAGGAAGAAGGCAGCCATCTGCAAGCCAAGGAAAAGGCTCTCAAAAGAAACTAAAGCTGCCCACACCTTGATCTTAGACTTCCGGCCTCTAGAACTGTGAGAAAATTAATTTCTTTTACTTGAGTGACCTAGTCTGTGGTATTTCAGTATGGCAGCCCTAGGAAGCTAATACACCATCTATACTTGCCTTACCTTTGCTCACCTAAATATGTTTGATACGAATCTTAGTTGCTATTCACTCATATTAGGTCTCCCCTGCCCCAGAAGTTCCTCAGATGCTAAGACCACGTGGACCAAGAAGATACAACCATAGGACAGGATTAATTAGGCCTTCAGAAGCAAATGAACAGCAGGGGTCAGACTTTGTGAA